GTTAGGATTATTGACAGGATCATAACTAAGGAAACAAAGATCTGACAAGATGAGATTTTTCAACAGCTAGAGGATTAAAGTTCAGCTCTTTCACAATTTAACAATAAAATTCTTACAGTAAGACTTACTGTATAATACAATCATTAGCTAATAAAAACCTTTTTATATTAAAGATTACTTAAATATTATCAATACCTTTAATTTTTTCTACGTAGTATTGGTGTTCAGAACACCATAAAAACACATTGTATATCATATATAATAGCAGGCAATAACAAAAACAAAAATGATACATGGCCAACAGCCTGGAATCATATGATTTTTTTTTTTGTGCCACTCCAGAGGCTTGAACTCAAGAGCCTGGGAGCTGTCTCTGAGCTTTTTGGCTCATAGCTAGTACTCTACCACTTGAGGCTCCACTCCAACTCTGGCATTTTGGGTGCTTAAGTGGAGACAAGAGTATCACAGACTTCCCCACCTGAGCTGCTTTCAAATTATGACACTTACATTACATTATCAGAGCACAGTAGAGTAGCTAGGATTAAAGGCGTGAGACACAGGCACATGACAGATAATTATTTTTAAGTCAGTGCAAAGATTCAAATGAACACTTTATTTTTTTGAGAGTAAGTGACTTTTTGAGATATCTAGATTAGAAAAGAAACTGGATTCGACAGCATAGTCCAGGATAGCAGAGTACACTAGGAACACCTTACTTAAAGCTACATAATTCTTCAGCGTTATCAATATCTTTAAAAAACGATGTAGTCTAGAAGCAGGGAGATCATGAGTTTGAATCCAGCCTAGGCTAAATAGCAAAGACTGTCTAAGAAAAATGTAGCCTTTGTCAGCTGGAGTAAATCAGAATAGACTGTCAATTTAGAATAAGCTGGGGTTGGGCTGGGAAGTTGGCTCAGTGGTAGAGCACTTGCCTTGCATGTTCGAGGCCCTGGGTTTGATTCCTCAGCACCACATAAGAAAAAAGAAAAAAGCCGGAAGTGGCGCTGTGGCTCAAGTGGTAGAG